TGTGTGTGTGTGTGTGTGTGTGTGTGTGTGTGTGTGTGTGTGTGTGTTAAAACAGCATCTCATATAGCTCAGGCTTGCTATGAAGCTGGCCTTAAACTCCTAAGCTTCCTGCCACCACTTCTCAAGTGCTAGGATTACAGGCATGCCTCACTAGGCCCCAGTGCAAACCCTGGCTCTTAACTGACCCCTTTTTCAGAAAATCATCATAATTTTTTTTTTTTCTGAGATCGGGTCTCATTACATAGTCTTGACTGTCCTGAAACTCACTCTGTAGACTAGACTGACCTCAGACTCAAAAGATCCACCTGCCTCTGCTTCCCAAGCGCTGGGATTAAATGTGCCATTACACCCAGCATGTACTTACTGATCAGAAACTACAGGCCAACCTTATTCCTTTTTAAAATTTTATCTTTTAATAGGCAAATAAAATTGTTCATGTTTGCCATGTGCAACACGTGTGGAAATCTCTATGCACTGTGGAATGGCTCAGCAGAGCAGTTAACACGCATTGCCTCACATCCTTGCCTGTTTTGCAGTGCTACGCTTACACTCCACTTTCAGTTCTTCTTAAGAATCCAATACATGGCTGTCACAACGCTGTACCGTAAATCGCTGTAACTCTTTTCTCCTAACGAGAACCTTAGTGCCCCTTTTCTTTTCCATTTGCATGTGTGTTGTACATGTGTGTAAACATGCATGTGTCCATGTGTGGGCAACGTATGTGAGTGTACACACATGTGCATGTGAAGGCCTGGGGTTGAAGGCTGCTGTTGGGAATCATCCTCCATCCCTCTCCTGCTTTATTCACGGAGACAGGGTCTCTCAGTCAAACCCAGAGTTCACCGATGTGACCAATCTCGCCATCAGTTTCCTCTGGGGATCCCCTGTCCCCAGCTTCTCAGGCAGGCTTCCATGCTCAGCCAGCACTTCCATAGGTTCAGCAGACTGGGCTGGGATCTCCAGCTTGCAACTCAACCACTGAGCCCTCTCCCAGCTCTCAGTAACCGGCTCCCTAACCTTGGCCCCAACCCCTGGAGATTCCATTCCTATCTGATTCTTATTCAAAATTTCTAGGACATTTCTAAAAATTTCCTCACTTAAGCTTTTAATTTACTCTTTCATAAACATACACCATACACTAGAGGTTTTTTAAAAATCTGTTCATTATAGCACTAAAAATCTATCTACATCTAATTTTGTTATTGCATTGTTGGATTGTATTCACAGCAACTTCTCTGTGTGTATGTGCCTGTGAGCGTATGTGCTTGTGTGTACATATGTGCCCCTCTGTGTATGTGTCCCTGTGTGTATGCCCCTGTGTGTACATGTGTGCCTGTGTGTATACATACCTGTATATGGGCATGTACTTATGAGTGTGTGTGCCTGTGTGTGATTGTGCCTGTGTGTATGCATATATGCTTAGTATGTGCTTCCTTAAATATCTGCCAGTGTGTGTACATATGCACAGTAAATATTTCATTTCACTGTGCTTCTTTAGCAAGGGTCTGTGTTTATGTCTGCCAGGTAAGCAGAGCCCTTAATCAGGACCACTTTAAATCTCTAGCTTGTGATTCTTCAGACTGTACTGACAAAAACAAACAAACAAACAAACAAACACACAAACAAAAAACACAGTAACTTGTAACCACAAATCCTGTGTCCCCTGAATTCTTTGAATCTAACATACTGCAAGTGCCACCAATTGTGTGTGCTGAAACAGGGGTAGGGGCATATTGGGCATAGGCAGCCTAGAAGCCAGAGGATGCTGGCACCTACTTGATCTCAGACTGTCCACATGGCTTCTTCCTGGAGAGACTCAGCAGATCTTTGCCATACTTCTCTTCAATTGCTGCCCTAGAGAAAACAGAAGAGAAGGCCACAGGTCTGGCTTAGAGTTCTTGGCTAAAACACAAAAGATGCTGCCCCGAAGGAGAGTTGTTCATTTACTACTGAAGTTCAAATGTAGTGAGTGTCATTGTCTAAGATATAATACTCAGATATAATTTTTTTTTAAAAACTAAAAATAAACCAACAAAATAAAAGTCAGAGCCAGACATGGTGATGCACACCTACAATCTCAGAACTGGGCAGTAAAGATGGGAAGACTGGGAGTTCAAGATCAGCCTGAGCTACACAGTGAGTCTGAGGGGAGCCTGGGCTACACAAAACCTTGTTTCGAAACAAATGTAGGGGCTAGAGAGACGGCACATGGTTAAAAGCACTTGTTGCTCTTCCGGAGGACCTGAGTTTGGTTCAGAGCACAAACATCAGACAGCTCACAACCCCTGTAACTCCAGAGCATCAGACATTCACTTCTGGCCTCCTTGGCCCCACAAATATATGTTATACTGACACAATACACATGAATAAAAATAAGTCTTAAAAATAGATTTTATATCCATACAGGCATGCATGCGCACACACATACATATAAGCCCAAGACCTCTGCTTTTAATGGCTCTTGTTTGTTTCGGTTTTGGTGCTGGAGACTGAGCCAAGGGCCCTGCATTTGCTAGACCAGCATGCTTTCACTGGGCTCAATCCCCACCAAGCCCTGCTGCAGAAGGTGAAGCAGCACAGTGGCCTTGGCCTCTAGCTACTCCCAGGCTGGGAGCCCCTTCCACAAATAAATGTCACAGCCAACATTTTTTTTCTTTTTTAAAAAAAATTTCTTTTATTATTATCATTTATTACAATTTATTCAATTTGTATCCTGGCTGTGTCCCCTCCCTAGACTCCTCCCAATCCCAGCCTCCCTCCCTCTTCTCCCCGGGACCCTTCTCCTAGTCCACTGATAGGTGAGGTCTTCCTTCCTTTTTATCTGACCCAAGCCTATCAGGTCTCACCAGGACTGGCCTAAGAGCCTGTCACTGAATTCATCCAGAGAAAGTCCCTGCTCCCCTTACTAGAGACCCCTCTTGGAGACTGAGTCTATGGGCTACATTTGAGCTAGGGTTTTAGGTCCTTACCATGCATGGTCCTTGGTTGAGGTATCAGTCTTTGCAGGGATCCAGGGCTTTTTTTTTTTTTTTGGCTCTGTCAGTTTCCTTTTAGAGCTCCTGTCCCCTCCAGGTCTTTTGATTTATTCGCTTCTTATTTATTGGAGACAAGGCCACTGGGTTATAAATGTCAGCCCCCTTTGCCTTTCAATTTTGAGACAGCATCTCACTCTAACCAACACCAACCTCAATCTTCACCGCAACTTCCCAAATAGCTATAATTACAGTCTTTGCACCACTGGCCCACCTTTCATTATCTAAAAAAAAAAAAACAAAAACAAAAAAACAAAAAAGCACAAAGAAGACAATACTAACTTATCCAAATTATATCAACCAAAGTTAATTCATCTGAGACCTGAGACTTAATGGGTAAAGTGCATCACACATAAAACACAGTACTTGGCCAGGCGTGGTAATCCCAGCACTTGAGAGGCAGAGGCAGACGGATCTCTATGAGATGGAGGCCAGCCTGGTGAGTTCCAGGTGACCAAGGACTATCCAATGAAGACCCTGTATGGGCTGCTGGGGGGAACTGGGAGAAGCTGGGGGGAACTGGGGGGAAGCATGGGGAGCTAAGGGGAGCTGGGGGGGGGGCAGGGAGAACATTTCCATAATTACATCCATGGAGCACCATGGAGCTTGCTGGCCAGCCAGCCTGCCAAAACTGATGAAGAAACCCTGCCTCAAAGAATAAGGTAAAGGGTCAGTGAAATGGCTCGGAGGGTAAAGACGCTTGCTGCCAAACCTGACAACCGAGTTCATCCCCCCAGAAACCACATGGTTGAAGGAAACACTGATTCTCCTTTTGACTTCCAACCACATGTGCAAGCGCACATATGTTCCTCTCTCTCTAGCTAAGAGGACTGTTACACCCCTAGGCATTTGTTTGTAAGGTTGGGTCACTGATGCCACTCATACCTATGCCCTCCAGGAGTCCAGCTGGCAATGCCCCAACGTAGTTCTTCCCAGTGTCCAGTTTGCTGCTTGGACCATGGGTCTATCTAAATTCTCTTGCAGACTCTGCTCCAGTTAGATGTCCATCCCACCAAACACTGCATAGTTCTGATCAAAGTTTCTTCCTCCAGTCCAGAAGCATTCTGGCCAGGTTTCAGCATAGTCCCATGGCACTTGCTCTGGGTTTCCTAAGAGCGAGACCTAAGAGGTCTTGGCCACCATCACCACCAAGTCCGCAGAAGTCTTTTTAAAACTCATATCCCAAGTCTGCCTTGTGCTGAGAAGAGACTTTTTCCTGGAGGCTCCCCCCTCTGTCAGTGCTGCTCGGCATCCCTTGTCTGGCTTCTCCCTGTTCTCTGTGCTTATTGCCGAAAGCACAGATCTTCCGAGCCTCTCTGTGTTAAGCCATGACTCCTATCACCTGCTGTTTCCTCTCGCGGGAAGTGGACTTGCTCCTTAAACCAAATCAATCCCCAGGACTTTGTCTCCTGCTCTGGGAAGTTCCCTAGTTTACTCTGGCATTGAAACTAGCAATAACTAAACATCAGCACTTGGAACGCCAGTATCCTCTGTGTATTGCCTGCAGAGTGTAGCAGAGCACCTCTGCCTCTTGTCCTCTGTCTTCCTTCCTGCACACTCATGAAGAGCCCTTGGGAATCCCCCAATGGTTTCCATGAGGAGGCACGCTAGCATTAAGGCAACTGTGGACAGAAGCCCCACCTCCAGCAAGCATGGTGGTCGGCTCTCTGGAGAAAAGAGGGAGCTTTACTGAAGTGAAACTCCAGCATCATGCTCTGCAACCGCGGGAACCACCAATGACATACAGAGGAAGATCCCCAGCATACAGCATACGGGAAGTGCTGGGGCCTGGAGCCAAACCAAGGGAGGAACCATGAGGACTCAGAAGAAATCCCCTTTGACTGAAAAGACCTTTACCTAGATCACCACCTACCCAGTGTTTCCTCTTACCTGTTCATCAGTTTGTCTTCTAAGATGTATTTATTCTTAGTTTCTATGTATGGGTGTTTTGCCTGGGTGTGTATCTGTGTACTCTGTGTGTTCAGAGCAAAAAGGTCACTAGACCCTCTGGAACTGAAGTTATGGATGGTTGTGAGCTGCCATGTAATGCTGGGAATGGAACCTTGGTCTTCTGCAAGAGCTTCAAGTACTCTTATCCTCTGAGCCATCTCTCCAGGCCCTCAGCCGTCATTTATAGAACATCTGTTACATTCCCAGCATCTTTCTGGGTGCTAGGAACACCAAATGACTGAAACAAAAGAGCTGCCTAGCGGAGCCTGTGGGTGTGTAAATCAGTACTCTAGTCGGCTACAACAGGGCCAAATGAAACGTAAAAAATAGTAAAAAAGACACGCAAGAGGGGTCTTGTTCCTCTACTTCTAACTGTTAATTTATTTGTTACTGGAGAAATTTATTCATATTAGCTGTAAAACTTACCAGGTTTCACTGTGCTATTTCCACACGTACTTCCAGCTCCTCTCGCCCTTCCTTCTCCCTTCCTATCTATTAGTCCTTTTATATCCAGGTCTCATTTGTTTCCATGCATGAGTTTGTGTGCATTATCTCACTTAAATGTGACAGTGATCTCCAGTTTCATCTGTTTTCCTGAAAACCCAATACTTGACTAGACCTGCTTCTTCCCTTGCTTGCTTTGATCTCTCCCTCCAAATTTCCCAGACCAGGAATAATCCACGTGCCAGCCCTCCTTCAACAGCTCACAGCCAGCATAATCAGACAAAGCCTTTTCCATCTGGCCTGAAAGCCGAATCTGATGACACCCTGCCTAGAGCTGGAGGAAGCTCCTGGGTCACGGCAAGTAGCCGAAACGAAATCCCCCAAATCCTGCCTCCATTGAGCTATTAATTTCTCAGGAAGACCTAGGTTCCCTGCTCAGAGATTTTACAGAACATGAGCACATGGCTTCCTTTTACAGAGGAGGAAACAGACACCTGGAAAAATACATGCCCCTGATGTGTTTCCCTGCAAGTTACCAAGGAAGCAGGTTCAGAAGAAGGCATGTCTAGACTCTTTTCCCAGCGTTCTTTCCTTTGTAGGTCTCAGGTTCCTGCCTATTCCATTTGCATGGAATGGTCTGTCTCTCTTCACCACGTCCAAGTTTAATCCCCACTGTCTCAAGCTGCACTCTTTTTTGGAACGGTCACTAGAGGTGTAATCAGCTGAGATGAGGGCATCCTTGATCAGGGTCAGTCCCTAAGCCAGCATAGCAGATAGCGTGAAGACGCAAGTCAAGAACTCCCTGGAGTAACGGAGGGAGAGTGGAAATTAGGGAGCTGAAGGCCAGAGCACAGCAGAGATCCTCGTGACACCAGATGCTAAACAAACCACATTCTCCTTGGAGAGCAAGGTCCTACCCACCTCTCCCATAGCTCCTGTCTGAATGAAGTCCTGTCTCTGTCTTGCCACTTGGGTTGCTCACTGCCTCCCACAGCTGTCAGGGGCGCCTTGTCCTGCCAGAGCCCTGCAAGGATTCCATGAAGCTACCAAAGAATCAGCCTGTGGTTGTTTCAGTTGTTCGTTTATTGTACTTTGCCGATTCTTAGTCTGCTTCCTCAGTGTTACTGATACCACGCTTTCTTAATATATTTTTGTGCTTGCTGCATTCTGCTGCTACATTCACAAATCCTGTTTTTTAGGTTGATTCTTAAGAATTTTAGGACAAGCATTAATGTAGAAGAAACTTGAAGTGATGAGAACTGATGCTGTAAAGAATTCACTAACCAATTTGCTTAGGAGCATTAAGTCACCCAAAGCAGCTAATGGAGCACCGCCTCCAAAATACACCAAAGATAATAGTATGCTAACCTGGCCTGTTTGAGCTAAGTGAGATTTAGGATGTGAGGGTGCAAGTGTTTGTTTACAAAGGTTGACCGCCAACTAGCCTACATTCACACGGCAAAAGGAGAAAGCCCTAATTACAGATGGCTGTTAGGTTCGTCTCCATATCAAAGAACATGACTGAAAGGGGCAGCTCCAGGAGCGAGCACAGGGTTACAGCCTCCTGACTACCCTCATGACTACGTCTGGGCCCGCCTTTATTCTCCTGTGCTCTTACACAGAAAAGAATAGTTCTTCCAAGTGGGCAAGGTGACCTGGGTAACGACTATTGGAAAAGTACAACACTGATATACGTAATTCTACAGCTGGGCAGTGAGTGACAGCGCCCGCCTTTAATCCCAGCACTTGGGAGGCAGAGGCAGGCAGATCTCTGAGGCTAGCCTGGTCTACAGGGTGAGTTCCAGAACAGCCAGGGCTACACAGAGAAACCCTGTCTTGAAAAACATTTAAACAAAAGAAAGAAAGAATCCTGCAAGTTCCAGGACAACCAGGGCTACATATTAAAAAAACAAACAAACAAACAAACAAACAAACAAACAAACAAAAAACTGTCTTGAAAAAAACAAATTTTAATTATTAATTAGTTAATTCCTTAACAAAGCTGACAACTAATAAAGCTTTTGTGGCTGCTTTATTAATCTCTAAACGTGTACAGTGGATTCTCACTGAGAAGGCGTTCTAACATTAACTCTAGAATAATATCGAATACTTTCTGGGATTATTTCACACCCTGTAGCAGATCTTCAGAACTCGTAAACACAACCAAAACAAGTGCAAAGTGGCTGAGATAGTTCAAGGGTGGAGTGCTTTCTAGGCAAGCCTGACAGCGGGAGTTCGCCCCAAAACGAGAGAACCACTGCACAAAGTTGTCCTCTGATGCCCACATACACGCTGTGGTTCATGCGTGCCACGTACTAACAAGAAATCACTTTTCTAAAACAGAAAGAAAAGAGAAACCAATTGATTCCTGATCTGGGGGAGGTGGGAACATCCGGCTAAAGGGGCCTGAGCATTGATCGTACCTTTCTTTTAAAAAGTCTTCGAACTCCTTGCAGTTCTTGCGGCCATTGTTCAGGTGCTGGATGATGCTGTCATAGCCAACAGTGCTGAGAATGTCCGTGCTCTGGTGAATTAAACAGCACAGCGTCAGACCAGGGAGAGGTATGAACAGTGGATAGGGCAGAAGTGGCAGGAAGTCCACAGTGAGACTTCAGTGAACCACTTCTCTAAAGACATGTGACCTAAGAGAAGAGAATTAAAAATGAGCAGCTGGGAAGAATGGTTCAAATGATATAGCTGAAGAGCCACTAACTGGGAAGGACAAGGCAGGAATCAGAGGCATGAGAATGAGGGGCAAGGCCGACTCGAGCCCTCTTTGGGCCTCCACTCACACCTAAGTCAGGCCAGGAGATTCCCACTGCAGCCTCTTGCTGTGTGCACTTTCACACTGCTTGGTAAATCGCCTTGGGCTACAGGCCCATTTTAACCAGGGGCTATGCAAAGTTCAGTCAGTCTTTAAACCTGCCACTCTGACATCTCCTTCCACAGCCAGCTGGCCCTCTTGAAAGACGGAATATCTGCCAAAGGCAAGCGGTCCTGAACCCCAAGGCAAGAGCAAGGAGGCAAGCCAGAGTGAAAGAAAGTGGCCACTGCCCTGCTGGAATCATGTTGCACATGACTCCTGGTCCTAGTTTGGGGAAAATAATATTTAGTTTTTAATTAGCAATTTACTTTCTCCTCTTCAATGCAGTATTACGTCATCCTTTGCAAAATCCAAAGCCAGTCTCTCAACACTCATGTTTTCCGAGTAGCCCAGTTGTCTTCTGAGTTCTCTGAATTTGGGTCTCTGTACTGCTCACAAGGATGGCCTTTCTGTTCCAACTCTACCGTCACCACCCCTGAAACCCTCACTGAAAAATCTCCCCAATGTTATGCCCCTCACAGGCCAACAGCAGAAATGTGCAGGGTGAGAGGTCTCCTGCAAGCCCATCCAAACTCTTAAGAATAGGACAATGAAACAAAGCCTCCTGGGAAGGTGAACAAAGGAGTTCAGAGGGTCATTGTCAGCGCCATTTTGTAGATAGGAGTCTCCATTCCTACTCACTAAGAATGCTTGACTTGGGCTGGAGAGATGGCTCAGAAGTTAAGAACCCTGGCTGTGCTTCCCAAAGGTCAATTCCCAATTCCTGAGTTCAACAACTACATGGTGGCTCATGATCATCTGTTCTGAGATCTGGTGCTCTCTTTTGGTGCACAGGCATACATGCAAACAGAACACTGTATAAATGATAAATAAACAGATCTTTAAAAAAAAACATGTTTGACTTAGTAGGGCATGGTGGCAAATGCCCTACTAAGTACTGTAATCCCAGTACTCTAAGAGATAGAGACAGGCAGATCTCTGAGTTCAAGGCCAGCCTGGTCTACAAAGTGGGTCCAGGACAGCCAAAGCTACACAGAGATACCCTGTCTCAAAAAACAACTCAAGAAAAAAAAAAAAAAGAATGCTTGATTTGGGTTGGAGAGATGGCTCAGTGTATAAGAGCACTGTCTGTTTTTTCCCCGAGGTCCTGAGTTCAATTCCCAGCAACCACATGGTGGCTCACAACCATCTATGCTGGAATCTGATGCCCTCTTCTGGCACGGAGGCGTGCATGCAGATAGAGCACTCATAAAATAAACATAATCTTAAAAAAAAATAATGCTTGACTTCTCCTGTATTATGACATCTGGGATGTGCCTTAATTAAAAGTACAAATAGTTTAGGTCTGGTGGGCAAAGAAGCATTTCCTGAAAACACAGACCTCCTAGCTGCCAGTTTCAATAACAAAACAGAACAGCTGCCAGTCACTCTGGATCAATGAAGAAAGGAAACCCAAGTAAAAAGTAACTAAGAAAAGAAACTCCCAGGTAAATCAATGTACCCAACACCAGGACTAAGGGGGTAGAAGACCAGCCTATGCTAGTCAGAGAACATGAGCAGCAAACTGAATGACAGAAATAAGACTGGGAGGTTGATGCAAAACAAAGGAATGTACATGCAATCCACGATATACCAGGACACACAGAACCAAGGGAACCAGGGAGCACCAGAGCAGCCTGGAGGGAGACTTCAGTGGGTGTAAGGCTTGCCACAGAAATGGGAAGAACTGAATTCAGTCCACAGCACCCACACAGAAGTCAGGTGTAGGAGCACGTGCTCATTATCCCAGCCCTGGGGAGGCAGAGACAAGCAGAGTCCCGGAGCTTGCTGACCAGCCCCAGGAAGAGGTTGTCCCAGGGAGAGGACTGCCTCAAAACCCAAGAGGACAGCTCCCGAGGGCGACTGCCAGAGGCTGGCCCCTATCCACACTGGCCCCTATCCACACATGCTCCTGCACACTCCCAAAGAGAGAGCAAAGGGACGGAGGGAGGGAGTAAGGGGGAAGGAGCGAAGGGAAAACTGGCTGAATAAAAATATAACTGTTGGGGCTGGAGTCATAGGTCAGAAGTTTCTTGTTATGCTTCCAAAGGCCCTAAGTTCGATTCCCAAAACTCACACCAGGCACAACCACCTGTAACTACAGGTGACCTGATGCTGCTCTCTTCTGACCTTTGCAGGCAGGCAGGCAGACACACACACACACACACACACACACACACACACACACACACGCACAGAAAGAGAGAGAGAGAGAGAATCTTTCAAAAATAAATGTCAATATATAAATATCAAAATAAAAAAAAATCAAGGAGCGAGTGCCAGAATCTGCCAGTGGAAGTGGGAATGCCACAATCAGAGCCTTCTGTGCCTGTCTACACCTTCCCTCCTCCAGCTCCTCCCACACTGCTCTCCTCTCTCATCTCCAGGACAAATGAGGTACATGGCCACCCCAAGATATTTCTACACACTTTTCCTTCCACGGGAATGGCAGGTCTCCCTTCTCTTAAACTCTACCTCTGGTGCAGAGCCTATTCAAACCCCACTTCTTCTCTGAATGGCATCTTCCTGGAAGAGCTTACTGTCCTCTGTCACTATTTAGAATGCCTGGAGTGTTGACTGTCCCTTGGCTATTAGCATATACTGTTTTGTGTTGTGAAGTATCACTCTCCTCCCCCTACCACCTTTGAGGCTGGGTCTCATGAAACTCAGATTGCTCTAGCTTACTTCAGAGCCAAGTATGGCCCTCAGCTTCTGACTGTCCCTCCTCAGCCTCCCAAGCACTGGGCTTGCAGCCATCACACCTGATTTATAGAGTACTAAGCGTCCAGCAACCACCTCTGGCTTGTGTGGTACTGGGTTTACAGCTGTCACACCTGGCTATTGGGGATCAAACCCAGAGCTGGTGCATGCTAGAGAAGCACTACCAGCTGAACTATATCTGCAGCCATGGTTTATTATATCTCCTAATAAAATGGTTAACTCATTATACGTCTTTTAGATTATGTACAAACTTTATCACTCACATTAATAACTTTTGATATACATTTTAATTTCACACCAACATGGGCTGGAGAGGTAGTTTGGAGGATAAGAGCACTGGCTGCTCTTCCAAAGGTCCTGAGTTCAATTCCCAGCAACCACAGGATGGCTCACAACCATCTATAATAGCATCTGGTGCCCTCTTCTGGCCTGCATGTACAGAGCACTGTATACATAATAACTAAATCTTAAAATTTTTTATACCAACTACACACAAAATACTAACAGTTATAAAGCCAGCCTGAGACTGTGTACTTGCAATCAGGGAGCCTACCATTTATTCCAGGGAGTCAGTAAAAATCATATATATAAAATAAATACATGTGTCCAAGGAAAGACAGAGGTGAAGACAGTCTATTAGATGGCCATATGAAGAACGTGTATCATTAATACAGCAGAAAAAGAAGGTAAGCTAAGTCATAAGAGAAAACAAGAAATAAAACAATGGGGAGCAGGTGGGGCAGGATCTTGCCATATTCGCCAGGCTGGCCTGAAACTGACAACCCTCGAAACTTAGCCTCTCAGGGGTTAGAATTACAGGTGTGTCACCACCACTGGCCAAGGAATAAGGTTTAAATCGAGTCCTTTAAAAAACCAGGATTCACGTGAAAAATAAAAATACATTTCAAATGAAATGACAATGAAAATATCAGAATTATGACATGGGGCTCAAGTGGAAGGTGGCTTGTGTAGTTGGCATGAAAAAGGCTGGTTCAGTCCCCAGCACTCCATAAGCTACATGAGGTGGCACACAGCTAGCTGTACTCCCAGCACTCTGGAAGGAGGATCAAGAGTTCAAGGTCAGCTTTAGCCATATCGTGAGTTGGAAGCCAACCTGGAGTACACCAGACCTCTTCTCTAATTAATTAATTAGAATTAAAAAATGAAATTGTTAATTAATTAATTAATTAACAATTTCATTTTTTAATTCTTTATTAATTACACTTTATTCATTTTGTATCCCCCCTGTGGTTCCCTCCCTCCTCCCGTCCCAATCCCTCCCTTCCTCCACCCTCTGCATGCATGCCCCTCCCCAAGTCCACTGATAGGGGAGGTCTTCTTTTCCTTCCTTCTGATCCTAGTCTCACAGGAGTGGCTGCAACAAACAATAGAAGTGAACCAAAGAAAAAGAGAGAAGGGTGGCCTTAAAGGCACTGACCTAAGCTTTCACTTTAAGTAGTTCAAGAAAAAGAGCTAGATAAACTTACAGTAAGTGGTAGAACATTCTTTAAATAGTGGAATGAGATAACAATGAGCAGACAATAGAGAACACTGATGAAACCAAGTTATCCTTTGAACAGTTAAATCAAATCGATAAGATATGTTACTCAAAAACAAGAAGGGCAAGAATAAAATACAAATTGCCACTATCAATGAAAATGCGAGCATCAATACAAATTTCAATCAGTGCAGATTCCACAAGTGTTACAAGCCAAACATAACAGGTGTGGTGGCACACAGCTGTAATTCCAAGCAGTTAAGCAGCTCAGGTGAGGAAAATTCAAGTTCAAGGCCAACCTGAAAGACATCACAAAATCCTATCTCAAAAATCCAAAGGATGGGGCTGAAGAGATGACTCAGCAGTTGAGAGAGCATGATGTCTTCACAAAGCTAAAGTTCAGTTCCCAGTACTCACACTAGGAAGCTCACTGGTCATGCCT